CTTTTAAATTTAATAATTATTGCTTTTATTAATTCAATTATCGTTTAAGCTACCTGTATTCCAGAAGACTCATAAAATCGTGAATTACACGTGCATTCAGAATCTCGTTCAAGTTATATTCCTTTTGAAACTGTGAATTTCTGTAAAAAAGGAGGAAAAGAAAAAAAGTAGCAATAGATGTTGCAAGTAACAGATGAAGATGGCCTTTAATAATGAATTATATTATGGCAATAAAGTAAGTGATTTGATTTGATAGCCTTCATGGGGACTAATTGTATTAATTAATAATGGTATTAGTAAATTTTGATCTCAGTGCTGCATTCCGGAATATAGGACTGATGGTTTATCCAACCCATTTGCCGAAAATGACTCCTTTTTGAACTGATGAATTGATCAATTTAGGTGTCAAAATATTTATTTTTTAAATTTTATGCAACAAATCATTTATTTGAGAAATTTGTGAATTCTAATTAAAACCACTCATAATATTCTTTTTCGGCTTCACCGACAGAAGCCGGTAGGTATGTTTGGGATATTTGAAAGAGCATGATCCACATCGTGTTTACAACCTACTGTCAAAATCATTATCTAATTGATTGGGCGGAATGGCTGGTGCAGCTCTAACCGACAACTATCCAGAATGACAAATTAATTCCTTGATAACGGATTCACTAATGACATCAGATTTGTATAAGCAAGATTTAAAAGCAATTCTTTATCATTATAACAGACAAATTACTTCATCAAAGCATTTATCAAAACTGGTTAAAGATATTTTTGATATTTCCGAAATTTCGCCAAGAATTGCAAGCATTCGTCGAAAGTATTCAAAGCTCCAATAGAAAATTTTTTCATATATTCTTTTTATATAAAATCCTTAGATAATTCTCCCATGGTAAAAAAGAAAGTTAAATTTTAAGACCAAAATTTTTTTATCTTACTATAAAACTTATATACTGAGAGAAGGGATAAATAGTTTTGGCATACTGCAAGCAGACAATCTTCATTAACGGCAAAATATTTTGATGTCGTCGAGGAAGTTGCCATCGTCGGCGATGCTAACATTCGAAGATATTACCATTAGAGTTGTCGATGTTAATATCTTCGATATTAACAACAACATCGTCGGGGATGCTAAGATAGTTGAAGATGTTATCATCGGGATAATTTAAGATGTTAAATTTTTCCGAGGGATACTCATCATTCGAGCGATCTAGTTGACTTGCTGAACTTTGACCAGCAGTGTGATGTTTTCGTGTGTCTGCCAAAATATGTTCCAACTGTGGATTTCCTTCTCCTGGGTCTAGAATGAACATTGCGTAGATATCATATCATTGTTCATTCATTTCGGGTAGATAAATAAATGCTAAAAACTCCGCCGAATTTGCAAAACTGAGAAACTCTGCAGGACTTTTCAGTGATTTCTTATTACTGAGGAAATTAATACAATAGGAAATTCGTTCCATTATTATGATGACGTTATTGTCATCATTGTCAATGTCGGAAAAACTCCGAAAATCCTAATGGAAATTTTCCGTCGGATTACCGAAATTTAAAGCTAGTATCGGAAAAAACTGAAAGAAATTGTAGTACATCCAAATAGCTAAAGACTTTGTTGTATAAACTGGTAAATAAATTCTCCTTTGTTAGAGGTCAATTTGTTTTCTAAGGTCAATCGGTAAAAATATCCTTTTCATTGATGTTGAGATGATTTATGGCGATTTTCCTTCTTACAAAGAAATCTAATCTTCTATGTAAACATCTCTTGTATGAGTGAAATTATTGTCAGCTTTGTAAGTACTTTAGATGGAGCTTGCAAAGCTCCTCTTTAATCCATACATATATATATATATATATATGTGAAAAAAATCCTGGATAGTTCGGTTTTTACAAACCAGCAGACGATACATCCTCTTCGCTTATCCTCCGCATATAAACTACGAGCGTACATACATATTTTATACTGCTTTTCCTGTTCTTAACTAGTAATATTGTACAAGAACAATATTACCTCCGGAATAAATCTGTATCGTCGAGAAACGAGTTCAACAAAGAAAAGAAAAACAAATTTCTCAACAGTCAACACCATTTAAATTCATCGGACTGTAAGCACGCTAATTGCTTGAATTCTGCCATCCCGTTCATTGTCATATCAATAGCTGCCAAACACCCGCTGCGATATATTGAATTTTGAATTGTAATTCACTGCCGTTGGTGTTTTACAACACTTTTTTATGTGAACATACACGTTAAAAACTTTGCAAAACTAACCTCTAACTCCGTGGCATCGTTTCTTGTGCTTTCGTAGTGTTCTCTTATAAGAAAAGAAAGAGCCGCAGATTTCACATAGAAGTTGAGGTTGATGTTTCTCGTAATGCTGTCGAAGTGCCATTGCGGTACGGTATTTCTTTCCACATGTGGACAAAGCACACTTGTATAAACCATGTTCCTTGTGCATTTCAAGATGTTTTAAATATTCCTTATGCGTCAGCGTAGTCGCATTACAATAACGACAGTCATGCTTCTGTTTGACTGAAAAACTGATATGTTTTTTGTGTTCACAAATAACATTTTATATGCTAATAATGAAACTGCTGATCTAACTGAGGATCTTACGTTGAGCATGGAATGAGCATTTCTTACCTGGAATATTTTGAACTGAAGCGATGCATAACAGAAGATTGAACCAAATAATATATACCATCGATGCAGTGAAGAACAACGCGTAGTGCAGAATTTTTGAAATGGCAGAAATGCTGGAATGGAAGCTTTTTATTTCAGATTGGTTGGAATTAAACGGCCAAAGGTTCAAACAGATTTTAATTTATGCGATTCACATTATTTTTTATATTTCTTTCTGTTGCATTCTCATTTTCTGATCTCTGAACTGGTAGTTGATGAATGCGCTTTGGGACTATTACGAAATAGTGAAAGCTTGAATATTTCGATGACAGAGGAAATGTAAGGATTTGCATAAATTAAAACTGGTGAATTATTTGTATTGTGTGAAGATTTGCATAAATTAAAATTGGCAGATTATTTTTATTAACTGTCATTGGTTAAAGGAATNTTTAATCCGTACAGTACTGAATAACTTTATTTGCGTTTTGTAGCATTGTTATGAAAATTTTCAGTTTTTCGTTCTATCTATTCGAAATAATGGTGAACAATTTTTCTAATTAAAGAGTTGACTTGATCAGT